AAGGAAAATCATTTTATTTTTGAATTTTTTAGGAGTAATTCTCATATAGGGCAAAAATCACGTACTTACAATCGTTACTGTGTGAGGCACTTGAAGGCCAATTTTCAGAAGGCACATCCCAAAAAGGATCTACATGATTTGATGTGGATGGAAGCAACAGACCACCAACAGCATAAATTTCGGAGGCATATGGATTCTATCAGGCAAGAAGGCGAGGCAGCATATCATTGGTTAATGCGACATGACCCTGAAAAGTGGACGTTGCATGCAGATGGTGGCAGACGCTGGGGAATTCTTACTACAAACGTGTCAGAGTCCTTCAACGGGTTATTAAAGTCGGCAAGAGGATTGCCCGTCACAGCCATGGTGCGTATGTCGTTCAAGCAGATGGCGGAGAGGTTTGTGCAACGGTCTGCAGCTGCAACGGAATTGATGGAAAGGGGTGTTGAATTTATGCCAGTGCCTATGAAGAGATTAGAGAAATACAGACGGCGAGCACATTGGCATTCCTTTTTGCAATATGATAATGAACGAGGTATTTTTGAAGTTCGCACCGATATCCTGCATAATCGGGGTAATAATGTACATACTGTAAATGAATCTACAAGGTTATGCTCATGTGGGAAATGGTCAATCTACCACATGCCTTGCTCATATGCCATCAAGTATTTTCAACGCGTTGGTTATGCGGAGACCAACTATATTGATCAACAATATAGTGTTTCCAAATACCTAAACACAAATAGTGGTCAGTTGCAGCCAGTGGGTGCTGAGCATTACTGGCCCCCAGAACCATTTAAAATGGTGTGTAACAAGTCCTATTTGCGTAAAAGATAGGTGCAGAAGAGAACGCATATACGGAACCAAATGGATGTTAGTGATACCGTATATGTGCACAAATGTGGTATATGCTCGCAAACAGGACACGACCGTAGAAAATGTCCTTTGGGTGGCAACAGTAATCAAGATCAGGGCGGGTGTTCTTCTATTGTAACTAACTACCCATGAGTTCATGTTGTAATAATTAGTTGTTATGTATACGATTTAAGTATTTATGAAATAAAATTTCCTTGTTTGTTAATTATGATTTGTACTTCCCCATTTTACCTATTTAAATAATAATTTAATATAATTTTCGGTATATTTATTATGTGTGTGTGTTGTCTTGTCGACATCACGATATTTAATACGCAAAATATAGCGCCATATATATGGCGCTATGTGTGTGTTGTCTTGTCTTGTCAACATCATGATATGGCGCCATTAGATATGGCGCTATCTAATATAGCGCCATTAGATATGGTGCTATATGTGTGTTGTTTCGCCTATAAATAATGGGCTCAATGTAGTTATTTTGTGTGCTCAAAATTTCCCCCAGAAATATTTCATTAAAAGTAAGTAAGGTTTTTTTATTATAAGCAAATATTTCACAAATGGCTCAACCTGGTCGTTCACCAATTTGCTTCTGTGGAAAACCATGCATGATGGATTGTGGGTGGGAAGGTGCTAACACTGGACGCCGCTATTGGTGTTGTATGAACATGTTGTACAAGCAACCCGACGAACCTACTTGTGAATTTGATGAATGGGCTGAGGAACCATGTTATCAGGACAGGAAGAGATTATAGGATTTTCATAATATGTGGTTATACCAGCAGAGAATACAAAAGGAGGGAGATAGAATTATTACAGAAATGAGGGAGAAACTGAAGGAGGTGGAAGATAAAAAATGGAGAACAGAATGGAATTGTGAAGCACACAAGGAACGCAACGAAAAATATAAACGGGCACTTGCGGAGGTGAAGGCGAGAGTGAAAGAGTTAGAAGAAGAAAAAGAACAAATAGAAGAACGATTTAAGTGGTTGGAGCGAAGAATAAATGGCAATTGGGACTAAACATTGGCGTGTATGTGTTTAGTGTCATTTTCATATTTCATGTATTTTTATTATGTTGGCCTGTTATGTTTGTGTTTGTGTTGTAGTAATGTTTTCCATGTTTGTTGTACTAAATTTTATTTTAATTTAAGTGGAAGTTAAGTTTAAGTTGTTGTGTTACTATACCAAATACTATAAAACGAAATGAGAACTAAAAAAGTAACTGTCATATTCGATTAAATATTGTTATTAATGTATACAAAAATATTATTTACGCCAAAAAAACGTAAAAATGGAAGACCGAATCAATGTGTCCCGCATCCGGTGTGTCTCAAAGTAGCCGTTGGCCTGAGGCGCATCCCCTGCCGCCCGGGTACGCTATCAGGATCATCATCATCAAGTCGTCTCCTTATGGCCGGATGCGGCACAGGATGACATGTATCAGTGGTGCTGTCAGGTCCAGTAGAAGGCTACATAATAATATCAAACTTAGTATAGAAAACTACATAACAATTCACAAAAATTTATATTGTCTTACCATAATCGTGTCTGGATCCTGAATGTAGTCATCTGTCGCAGCATCGCATGAAGCCTAAAAAAGTAAATTAATAAAGTTAAAGAAAATAAATAAGTTATAGTAAAAACAGTAATAAAATTAATACTAATAAACTCATACCTGCGCATGTGATGAGCTGCCATAACTCAGTCGGTGCCCACTATCAAAATCTCGGATCGGTCGAGACTCATCAGTGGTAGACGGGCCAGGGAAATATCTACCCAACTCCACTCCTTGAAAATCCGAGCCCGTGATCAAGAATTGACTCGATGGGGTCACCTGCGACGTCCCTGAAGTGTCATAAATGCCAAGGCTGTAAGATGGCATGTCGGTCTCATGCATGCCACCTCCCATATCAGCAGCAACATCATCAGTAGGAGCCTCAAACCCCCCTTGCTGGGGACCTCCTCTCCGCCCACGACCACGTCGTCTGGCACCATCAGGTTGTCGGGGAGCAGCAGCAGCTCGTCAGAAACCACCTCGTGGCATACCACGACCTCGCTGGTACGTGGCTGGGTCAACATAATCTGGCTCGTGTGCCAAACACTGATCCGATCGGCCTCGCTGCAGTGTCTGGGCAGCCACATCCATGAAGCGATGACTATAGTCCTGCATGATCACAGGATCGTGGATATAACTCTGCATCTGCTGCCCCATACGATATACGGTATGCAATCCAATCGCCTGCACAAAAGTTTTTAATATAAACTATGTATTTGACTAGAAATTACTATTAATGTAATTGATAATAACAGAAAACATACCAGAGCCTCATGTCTCCCGGCGTATGAGACGTACCGACCATCTACCTGATGAACTGGGTTCCCGATAAAAAGTCGGGAAACAGTGCGGTACCATGCCATATAAACTTCGATAGGAAAGTGTTGCGGAGCTGGGGTCAAGTCCCCTCGGCTGTCCCAAATACCCAACTGCGCTGTCAGCCAATCAATAAATGTGTCGTCCACTCTCATCCGATCATCCCTCTCATAATGTAAAGGATCCCATGCAGGCCGAGTCGGTATAGGCTGCGGAAATCCAAACTGACGAAATACTCGCTCTGAGGCATGATGCTCAACAATATCGAGGCACGTGAGAGGGACGGAAGCCCTCCAAATATGGCGACCGTGCGTGCAATACGCTGGCAGGGTACCTATCAGCTCTTCGTTGTACGGCGTCCAGATGAACTATCAAATAATAACACAAACCGTTAGTATGCGCAACACCTAGTTAAACAATAATTGGTAAGTTTAGTTAGATATTCACCTGTGCGTCCTCCAGAAAATCCAACACATCCCTACAGAAGGGGAGACTATGATGGCCATGATACTCTCGTGCAAGTCTACGACGCAATACCCACCTACAAGCTAGAGGGAGATCAGGAATATGTACATTAGCCGGTAACTGTGGTAGAGGTGGCCGAAGCTGCAGAAATCGCTCCCACACCCAAACCTAACATACAAAGTTGACGAAAAGATTAACTATAACTAGGTAGAATTGTAACTAAAGGACATATTATTTGAATAAGTTTTCACCTGTAGAAGTGGCAAAAAACCAGAAACGTCTCTCTGTGTGCCCATGGATGCCCGGTACATCTGCCTGTACAAAAATGATAGGACAGCACCACCCCAGCTGTAGCTGACTGTATCATCGAAGTCCGCAATATGATGCAGAAAACGGAGGCTCACTAGGTTCCCCGAAGTGTTCGGGAA